TGACGCAGCTCTGCTCTCCGAAATGCTCGGGGTGTTACAGCTAGAAGCGTGCAAGGAGCTTAACCTCCGGACAGTGAGTTTTGATACCAGGACTGCTTAAGCAGCACGATTAAGGGTGTAGAAAAGGGTGCAGGACGTCGGTCAGAAAGCTGCGAGTTTAAGGTGAGACTCGGGCCCACGGGTTTCCCACCACGTTCACAGCTCTGCCAGCGGGCAGGGCGGCACCGGAGTGCCTCTGCTTGGCTCACAAGGCGTGTTGCGCCGCCCGAAGCCTGGCAGACTCCTCTGCGGGGTTGTTGCAAAGCAGGCCTGGAGCTAAGCGAACCCAGAGGGCGACGGGGGTTGTCCTTACTGCTAGAGGCAGCTGGTCTTCTCGTTAAAGCGAGGAAGAGCGAGCCCAAACTAATGATGCCTTACGAGGTCCCGCTCCTTCATTGCAGCTGAGATATTTAGAAAATGACATATTAAAGATTTTTTTTTTTTTGAGGTGAAGGAAAAGTTTCACGGTGATGGAAGAACAGGAGTAGCAGCTAGGCGCCCTGTGGCCCCTTCCACACATCTGGACCGCCAAGCCCCAGCCAGAACCCATTTTTAGGAACTGCTGCCCCCCAAGCCTGGCTCAGCGGCAGTGAGCTGGGGCTGTGCCGGGGCTCACCCTTCGCCGGGGATGGGGGACACCCCCAGACTGTTGAGGCGTTGGATTAGGCACTGCCTGACAGCTTGTCCGTGTGTTCTCTCGCAGGCATGCCAACCGGACTGCAAGGGCAGAGCGTCTCTTCGGGTAGCTCCGAAATCAAATCTGACGACGAGGGAGATGAAAACCTCCAGGACACAAAGTCTTCTGAGGACAAGAAACTAGAGGATGACAAGAAGGATATCAAATCAATTACTAGGTCAAGATCTAGGTAACAGTATATAATAGTGTCGCTTCATTTAATTCCTTTACTGGATTTCGATGAAGTGAACAGAACAGGAGGAAACTATGAGGTTTTTTCCTGGCAGGTAAAACCACAGCCTAAGTGGAACGGGATGGCTGTTCTGGCAGTACCGAGTACCTCTCTGGTACCTCTACTCCAGGATGTCCTGAAATTGGAACAATTCACAAATTTGGACACTGAGCAAGTTCTCCGCAATCTATAAAGAAATTGCGTTACGCTAAAATCTATGAACTTGGCTGTTATTCCTCTCTGCCTGTGCTTGCAAATTGGAATACAGTATGGATTTTCATCTCTAAAAACGTGCCTCAGAGCTGATCCCACCTGCGTGGAACTAACAAACCGTGTGCTTTGCTTTTACCTCTGAAATACGTTTGTCCTTCCCAGTCCTCACTTTGTGTAAATCTCTAGGGCTCCCTAGGTTTCGGTGGAGGGTTTAGAGGTCTTTACCTGTTTGGCCTATTCTTCACCAATTTTTGGAAAGTATTAGCGAAGTTGTAGCTGGATTGGTCCCACCTGGGAACTCAATGTCTGTGTGTGCTGCAGACGTGAACCTGAGCGAGAGACAGGCTTTACTTGCGTCCCTCACATTTCACCTGCCCCACCTGCGTGCGGCTCAGGACTGCAGGTACTCCTCCTCACAGCAAAAATCCCAATAAAGCTGAAATCCAGGCACCGCCCTGCTTTATCCAGGGGATGTGTTTCAGGATGAATGGCAGCGTCCTTCTGCCTTTTCTCCTGCCACGCCTGGTTCTCTGTCTAAAAACCGAGCGTCTGAGCAGACATGGTGCCCCCGAGAGAGCGATGAGACTCAGACCCGGTGTTTAAAACATTAATTACATCCACGGCTCTTACGGCTGGAGAAAATAGTTGAGATTTTCTCTGAACAAATGTGTTGAAGTAACCATATGTAGAAGTGAGGCTTTCATGTGTGTTTGTGATACGGTAAGAAGAAAGCACCTTTACGCTCACGTGAGGTGATCGTAGTCCTTGTTAATTCCACAAATACGCTGTCGCTTATGCATATTTATATGTGCTTTGAAGCTTTTGTAGGCTAACATTTTTGCTTCCAATGTGCTTGCAGCTCTGAAAGGTTACTCCCGATATTTAGTTATGTGTCTAAATCCATGTTGTTAGGGCTGCTGGAAATTTATTACTCCATTTGCATAACCAATTCAAATTGTATAGTGCCAGTGACTCACCAGTGGCTGTGTTTTCAATTTAAAACCATCGTTTCCTCTGGCTCGAAAGAAGTTTTGTTGCAGAAGGGATGCAGAAGTTCACCGTAGGGCCCTTCACAGCCATAAATTACTTCCGTGGCTCTTTGCCCACGGGTGTTTTGGTGCCCCGTGCCCCGCGTCCTTGGGAGGATGGTGGATCCTCACCCTCAGTGGTGGAGAAAGTTTCTTCCAGAGCCCAGAAGATGCTCTGCTGAAAGGGAAGTGTGCAAACCACGGCTGTCCTCCTGGCTTGGAAGCTACTGCGGAGGGACCGGAGCCCGTGGGACTTGGGTGCTGGCACTGGCCTGAGAGGGGGAGGTCACCTCGCTGGTTGGGGACAAGCTCCTCGCTCCCAGGGTGCGGTGGCAAGGATGGGAGCAGTGCAGGTAGCCACCTGCGTGTCCTTCGGGGTTAAAGGGTGACGATCAGTGGAGATTTGCCACGATTTAAAATGTTGTGGGGTTGGCTGTGCGGAACTATGTTCCTGACAAAAATCTGTACTTTCGCTTCTTTGAAATACCAGAAGTCCCGCCTTGCAGATTGTAAAGCTTCGTTACAACCCAAGGCTTTACTCAGGGGACCGAGTTTTGCACAGGTTTGGTGGAAGAGGAACAGCGTGGCTCAGAAGGTGTCTGTCTGTTCATGACCTGCAGCCCTGGTTTTGGACAAAGCCTGCTGAAAATCTTTGCGCTCCTTGTTTTCCACATCATTAGAAAATGATGTATTCCTTTTGTCTCCCAGCAATAACGACGACGAAGACCTGACACCGGAGCAGAAGGCCGAGAGGGAAAAGGAGAGGAGAATGGCCAACAACGCTCGGGAGCGCCTGCGCGTCCGCGACATCAACGAGGCTTTCAAGGAGTTGGGCCGGATGGTGCAGCTCCACCTGAAGAGCGACAAGCCCCAGACCAAGCTCCTGATCTTACACCAGGCCGTGGCTGTCATCCTCAGCTTAGAGCAGCAAGTCAGAGGTCAGTGTGCCGCCGGGTCTCCTGCCATCCCACCTTGGGCTGTGCCAAAACACGCCTTTCTGGGCTGGGGAACGCCTGGCTGGGGGTACGGGCTGCCAAAGAGAGAGGCAGGACCGAACGCTTGGCACCCGGAGCTGACTGGGCACCTCTGAGCACCCCGGGGCGCTGGTGTTCCCCGGCGGCTCCGGCACTGGGGATGCTGGCGCGGGCCCTCGGCAGCCTCGGCGCGTTTTACGTCCTTGGGCAAGATCTAAATTCGCCGTGAGGCTCGGCTCCTCCTGGGCAAAGCCCAAACGCCGCGGCGGTGTTTGCCGAGCTGGCGTGGGGGGCTGTGCTGCGTTTCCAGCTGCGTCCTCCGCTTCAGCCCGCTGAGTTCCCGGCGCGGGGCTGGGACGGGTAACGGGCGGTTAATTATTTTAATTGCCCGCGCAATGAACAGACCGATCCGGTGTAGAAACGTGTGAGTATTTGAAAGCGCCTTTTGCTTCCGTTCGACAGAAAGAAACCTGAATCCTAAAGCGGCGTGTCTGAAAAGAAGGGAAGAAGAGAAAGTGTCTTCAGACCCTCCTCCGCTTTCCCTGGCGGGACCCCACCCTGGGATGGGAGATGCCTCCAATCACATGGGACAGATGTAAAAAATAAAAAAGGCAAGTCGCTTTTCGGCCGTGCCCTGGGCGCTGCCTTCTGCCCCCGCGCCCGGAGGGGTTACCCCCCCACCCCAGGGCAGACCGTCCCCCCGGTGTGCTGCGCGCGGGGGCGGGGGGTGCCGTTCGGGTCGCCCTGCCACCTCGGTTTC